TGAAACTCACATCAATGGGTTACACTACAGGAGCTACAGTAGCTATCGTAATATAACAGTTAAGAGGAATAAGTTGGGAGTGGCAAGGTTCTCCAACTATTCTAGGCTGCCACCATTCATTGGTCCAGCAAGAGATTTCGATGTCTATCGAGGTATTGTCCGATTGCAAATATCTCATTGAAACAGTCACCACTATGATTAGAAGGCAAGCAATGGTTAAGTCCAGGATTGAGCGTAAGGCACAGTTCACGATAATTTTGAGGCCCCCTTCTCAGGTTGAAAACGGAAGTACCTGTGGAGAAATGCATCGGTGGCGAGAATATCTAGGAAATCCGTCGATTTCGTGAAAAATAAGGTATAAAAGTAGTGCAAATCGAGGTTACACGAGATTGTCAAAACACTTGGCATGGAAGGTATGGAAGGGTATTTGGACGAGTTTTCAGTCGTTGTAGCTTCATGAAGAGCTGACCAAATCATGCAAGAACACCCAAAATTCTTCCTACTGTCGCCATGGGTACGGATAGTTGTTTGAAATTAAAGGCGTACCTTTTGGGTGGTGCAGACCTCCTCTACGTCATCAAAACTCTTTCATCTCCGAATGTGGCATGCATTCGGTACCATTGTTGAGCCCCTATAAAACCCCATCTGATCCGTTTTACGATGACAGTGCTAGTTATGGTATATGAGGGGGGCTTCACAGATTTATCTCCCGTGGATATGTCAGAAAACATTTTTATCGTGAAATGTGTCTTCAAGGGGACCCATTTGCAGGCTCTAAGGCTACGATATGGAAGAGGGGGGCGCAAATGAGTAACGTCAGAAGCATGGAATAAACCGTCCGAGGATATGGGTCACCTTGCAGACCGGCTGTTCCTTTCTTGCCTCACTGGGTCGGTTTCATATGCAACCACCTAAACTTTCGAGTATGACCCAGAAAAACAGCTGCAACACTGTAAGTCTGCTGCAATGAAATTTACAACAACGCCTCCTTATACAATTTCCTTTGTTGAATGGTTTTCCATCGGATGACATACAAGTTACTATCCTTTTTATTTCTTCAGTAATATTCTTATCGCTGTTGAGGAGAATAGTGGCAATGGGCGTATTTATCAACCCATTCCGCCATGGCGTTTTGGCTTGGGTCAGGTCTGGATAGCTTTCCTCTACCAGGTCAAGTCAAATCTGGTAAAACTCAAGCTAATATCTTCAAGTCATAAAGAAGGTAAATTAAATTCGGCTGGGCCTATCGCATTTAATCCACCTTTACTCCGAATAATAAATTATCCTGGGCGGAGGTGGAGTAGTGGCAAGTGGCTCACTGCCTCACACACGCACGGTCAGGGGTTCGAATCCCAGATCGATTCGCGCCTAGGCCACCAAGCCTTCCATCTGCCGAGGTCGGTTAGTTGGTACCAGACCTGTCTGGGAGGATAAAAGCTCTGACTTGTACATCGACTGGCCACTGCAAGTCATTGTATAGGCCACATACGCACTCATTACGCCACTACGATCTGAATGGAATTCGAGTGCGGGGGCGCATCCCTCAGACGGGTTTGATCAACGCCAAAAACTTTATCCTTTTATCCTTAATAAATCATCTTAAAATGGAAATGACCAATGCCGAAAACTTCACCCTTTGCCGAAGTGTGAATAGGCAAGGAGGGGTAGTAGTGTCAAATGGCTTTACAAAATGATCACGCTTCCATTCAACAGTTACCCCACACCAACCAAGAATTTAATCTTTCCCAACTACTATACTTCAACAACATGCGTTTCTGAAGTCGTCGGACACCTAGTCAAGGCATGTGGCATGAAAAATGAGATTTTTTGGTTGTAAACTACTCCTTGCTCGATCGGTATGCTACATATAAACATGGGCGGAGGCCCCTTTTCTAGGCCCTAACCCAGCCCATTCTCGAGTATCTTGTTCCGCCAAAACAGTATGTGATTTCAATTCTTTCCATGTCGCAAGAACCATCATGCACAGCTACGACCTCCACCTCTTCTAACAGCTCAGAAATGGAAGGACGATCTAGACTCCAGCTTGCTCTCAATCCGCTTTCAAATGTTTCGTTTTTTATCTCATGTTACTCTGAAACATCGCAAAAAACAAATAAATTGCCGTGTTCAAGGGTATTCATCTCACAGTAATTTCAGAACTAATCGATGAAGTGGATTTTTATTCTTCTGTTCCTATATGAGCCTGGTTCCTGTTTGACGAGAGAAGAGCTTCTGGAACATTTGAAAGATAAACAAGAAACAAGAAACACATTTGACGCACGTGTTCCTCGTCTTATTCGTCCAATTGGTTACGTCAACGAAGAGTAAGTTGTTGTAATCCGTAATTCTGTAATGTAATCATACTGTAATCATGCCTTGGACCTTAACTGAAAGTCTATGAGTAACTGGTGAAGTTCAGCGCTATTGAAAATCTGATGTGTTTTAGAAGTAGAATGCAAGAGCATATTCTGAAAAGGGGTCGATCGGAATTCTGGATTCGTAACATATTCTGAATTGGGTTAGTGGGTGATCGCACCATCATACGTATGATCGAAAGACGTCTTGTTGTTGAGCCTTTAGTAGATCCTTTTCTTGGCATACCTAGCCGCTCATTACAACAAGCTCTATACAGGTCGTCGGAATCATTGACTTGGACAGCTTCTCGCATTCGAAAACTCGCAAATGCCAAATACTGAATTAACATTTTTCTATTACGGTAAATATGGTCCAATGCATGACATGTCTCACTATCAGCAATGATTGGGCATCATGAAACGGAGTAGCAACTAAATTTTATTGAATTCAGACCAATTTGGCCTCGAGTGCTCGAGAAGGTCAAATCAGAAGCGGAGCTCTTTTTTGACGACGATAATTTCGCTTACAAGGTTGGTTTCCTACCTCACTGATCTTGTTAAAATCCTTCCCCAATGAAAGTCTCTCATTCTCTGGTTTCTAGAAAAGAAACAAATGCTGATGTAGAAAATAAAATTCATTTCCTATTGAAATATGGTAGTTCATAGTTGAGAAAAACTGAAAGTAATATAAAGTTAATGACCTGCTTTACTAAATGCTCTAAACGCACACCCTCACAACGAAATAGTTCTTGGGATATCCCTCTGGGATGAATCTGTGGCCTTCCTGTACTACCTGGCGCTGTCAGATCGAAAAGGACTGCATCAGGACGTGTGCCACGCTGTGGACGACTTTCAACGGCGTCGTAGAGGCTGTTCACAAGGGCTACCCATGTTGGGAGTTCAGACACCCAGTAGTCACCAATGGTGACAGAAGTAGTTTTTTTCGCTTGATGACATCTCAACGTAATTACAACAACTGAAGTCCTGGAAGTTATTGCGAGCTGTGCTTCCTTAAAGACGGTCAAATCTGTTCGAATAGCTTGAACAATGTGGGCAGTGTTCTGTCCAGAAATCAAGGATGAGTCCAAGTTTCAATGCCAAGTCCATGTCTTTCATCTATGATCCATCTTCTTTTGCTCTGAAATTTAAGAATAGTATTACAAAGAGTCTACAATTTTTACATAGTGTTATAGCAATACATGAGAACTACCAGAAATTCCGTTATGCTTCGATGCCGAACAGAAAATCTGATGTATTTTAGGTTGCTCCACATCGAGATGCTGTTGCGCTCATACGTAAAATGGATAAAGAAGAGAATTACAACAAAGTATTGAACTTTCTAGAAAAGTTTACGTGACGTTAGAATTATCAGAATTAGTAAGTAATAATAACGTAATAATGACGAAGTGTCTAAGGTCATGTGTCTTACGTTTCCGTAAAGTTTGCAGAACTCAGTAAAGCTTTAACGAACTGGGTTAACATCTGAAATTTAAATTTTTTTTCTCGAAAGAACAGAAGTTCTCGCATAAAGGGACAGTCCACGATAATTTTGGCTTACTCTTTTGTAATCGAAAAGCAAAAGCATTAGTCAGGAATGAAGAACCATCGTTGATGAAGAAAGCGAGAGAATCCTCGTTTTCGTGAGAAGGAATATCTCATTAGCCATTTTATCGTAAACTGTGCCTCCTAAGTATGGCCTCTATGGGAGAAAAACGCAAAGCTGAGGAAGGCGCTGTTTGTGAAATATGTTGCGGTACAAAAAAACTATCTTTGTCATGACTCATTAATGAATAATGAAGGAATGAGACCTTGGCATTGATTCATTCCCTTTGGAGATGCGCCTACGATATGACACCAATTCGAAGTCGCAGAATGCGTATGCATACAACGAGTTTCCGTTGTCAGTCGATGTACAAGTCAGTGAAGTCTGAACATACACTTGTCTTTTACATTATAGATTTATTCGCACGGACAGAGGTGTAGCAACACTTGGAGTGCGCCTTAAGCATGTCCTCTTCAGTGCGATAGGACTTTCCCCCTTCTCGGAGAAAGGCATATAGCTGAAATCAGCCGCACTTATTGTCGGTCCTTCCGTTCGACCGCATAGGTCGACTGGCGTGGCGTACACCTCGGTCCCGCCGGGAAAGTACAGTACGCTTCAGAGAGAAGAAGGCCGTCATGTGGCTATGCTTAGCCACGGTCTTTAGCTGCTCATGCCATCATGCGACGATTGAATCATTCACTCTCGTAACCGTCGTCTTCGCAGCAGCGTGGACGTGACCGTCTCCGTCTACTGGAACGTACTCGGCGTCAACGCCATCGACACAGCTCCAGAGGATTCCGCAACACTGGCTAGTCTAACTCACGCAATGAAGATCCAGAGGAGTGGTCCACAACTATGGAAGGACCAAGGAGCAGCACTACCGCAAGGAGGCTGGGAGGATTCGGTTGGCCCGGATTTAGGCTGAGCAGGATCGTACTCCGTCTGTAGGTTTAGTTTGGTTTTTGTGTGTATATGCATTTTCCATATTTCTTCACATAGTATCTTTTGCGTTCTAGCCAACCATATTTACTCGTATTTAAACCAGCATTTATTTTTCTATACAAGCAGTTACTCATGAAATTATGTTCACTTTAATTCATTTATGTGCGCTTGGTATGTAAAGTGTAGCGTGACCCCTATATCGCACGCACCCCAAGCGAAGGGATCAGCGGGTACGCAGGCCTTTAAAGAACCATACGTCCAACGCCTTGAGGGAGCTCGGCGTTGGACGAAATAACCCAAGTGTATTGCGGAGGCAGTACCAACCCGAGGTACCTGACGTAGACACCGAGGCCACAAGGGCTACCATGTCCGCGTAGCAGAGGGTGTCGAGCTTCGAGCGCGTATAACACCCCGGTCATCTTCAAGCCGCCTCCCGACCGCCAGCGCGAGCGATCCACCGATCAGCGGGCGCTCAGCAAGGGAGCCCGAGCGGCGCGACAGTTATATTACATACGTAACTTCTTCCGGAGGGGCCTGGAAACCCCCTACTCACTCGCGATCAGTGAATCAGATCCAACTCAATTTGCGGTTGGTCATTTTCGTTTTTTACGCTGCTAACCCATCCACCGGAGGTAAAACTGTTTAGTGTACCTAGTCGCGATGGCAGGCCAAGTAGGCTATGAAAAGACTACATACCCTTTTTTCCCCTCTTCCTTCAGCGTTGTATTATCCGGCCTCCCAAAAAGCTTACTGTTAACCGCGTTGCCATTCTGGATGGCATAAGTAGGCACTGATTCGCCCCCCCCCCCACTCCGCCCTTCCCTCCAACTGGTCCTCCTTTTTCATAAAAGGAGCTGGACCCCACACAGCTTGTGAATCATAATGAATGCATTGTCCGCTATACTTTTGGACATAACCTCCAATTTCGTAGTATCCTGTTTTTATGGGTCAAGTATTCCATATTTTAAAAACACTTCATTGTTATCAGTTTTGTCTGAGAGGAAAAAGCTGTAACTGTAAATACGTTGGACGACTTATGTAGTTCATTGTATAGGCTCTATACGCTCATAACGCCAATATGAACCCGAATGCTTTACTTCTATCCTTTCTTTCTTTCATTTGGTGTAACTTCTTTGGCTGCTTTCATAGTCCGCCGGCCGGCCGGCCGGCCGGCGTGCTGGCGGAGGCAGTGATAGGGGAGAGGAGGGAGGCAGGCAGTGT